AAATGAAATCTTCAGTGAACAGAAAAAAAAGATCCTTCAATTGCAGGGATTCTTCTTTCCTTGCCTTTACATGGTGCTCCCGTAACTTCAGAGTTTTTTTGGGAACCAGGGATGAAAGTGGTAAACGGGAGTACCGAAAAACCATAGTACCGGTTAGTCATTGGCACTGACGGGATACTGTACAAAATTGTGTACTTTGAGCTCATCTTGAATCTTTGAAAATTCTCTATAAACTGAAGCTGCATACAGAAATGGGATTCCAATTATCATCGCTTGAAGTTAGTTTAAGAGCAGCAATTTAACCTCGGAAAAGCAGTGAAAACTGATAAGATCTTGGCTTGTCCCGTTACGACAGTAACGTTAAAGCAGGATGGCATATTCGATTAAACATATAAGAAATTACCTGCGATTGGAGAAATGAAAAGTGCTACTAGAAAAACTGGTGCGACAATATAAAGCTGTGTATCAACTGCCAAATACCATGTTATTGGATAACACTCCTGCAAAGATTTTCAGAAAAAGTTGATAATTTAGAAAAATCTGGTATTCTCTAAAAATATAATATGCATACCTTAGTTACGCTATACAAATTATTGATGTAAAGCATATTACGCCACCAATACTTTTCGCAAACTTCAACAAATTCGTCGGTTGAATTGAGAAAGCCCTCCACAGATACGCTCCATGGACCATTAGTGAATGGAAGCATAACAACAAAAAACCAAATGAATAACATTATAGCTGGAGTTAATCTAAATTGCGATAAAAATCTTGTTTTTTAAGAGTTTTACTGTAATAATTAAGTAAATCCTACCTCAAATATCGATGCACATAGTACATTAACCACGTTAACGGATTTTTTACGTATCTTAATGCTGGCTTTGTCTTGAAGAATACGTAGCTGACGAGAGTCCCAGATAATAAAAAGTATGTGTCCACCGAAAGGAATGCATTTATGATGGTTGTAGAAAGAAAAGGATTCCACATTGTTAGAACCGGAAGCATCGCATCTGTAGCATGTAAACTCTTAACTCTTGAATATATATATCCAGCAAACCACTTACCGGCAGATATGCTCTGTCCCAAGGAATGTCCCGCTGCTACCCAAGTCATAGAAAGAAAACGAATTGCAGCCAGTGATCTTAGAGTTCCTTTTTTAGGTGGGCTAACATCCATTATTATGGATGCATTTGTGTAGAAAGAGAAGGCAAGAAATATACGCATTACTGAAAATATTGATTAGGTGGATCGATTTTCCGCTTGAAAGGAGAATTAATGCTTCGCACATCGTTCCCTCGATGTTCCCAGCAAACCATATTTTTTTAAAACTATATGTCATTGAAAAATGCTTTTACGGTAATAAGTGGATAGACGATGAGA